TTCTAGGTCTGTGAAATATGCCGTTGGTATTTAATGGGGAGTGCATTGAATCTATAGATTGCTTTGGGTAGTATGGACATCTTGATGATGTTGATTCTACCAATCCATGAACATGGTATGTTCTATAATTAATATATTTTAAATCAGATGATAACATTTTAAATATATATATAGTTGATTCGATGTAATTAAAATTTATTTCACCTTTTACTTTTTACTTTTTTAAGGTGGCTACTTGAAAATTTAATGTCACAATAGAGCTCTAGATTACATTTATATTGAACACATACTCTTTACAAAGCCTGTTTAATTAACATGTTTTATAATGTATTTTAATTTTATCCCCATCTGTCCTTTTTTGTAGGAAAAACTTTTTAAACTCTGGAGGATTTATTTTCTCTCAGAAGCCTCTATTGCTGTTTTGCATGATTCCTTTTGGTGGTGGTTTCTCCATAAATTTAAGGTATAATGATATTTTTTAAATTTCCTTTTTAGGTTGATTTGCAGCATATTTCTTTTTTCAGTAGAGGTCGCATTGGTACAAAAAATTTTTTTCTGGATCCTTTCACAGAGCTTGGTTTTTTAGTATTCCACACATGTAAGAAATCCTGTTTGAAATAAAGAGTTCTTTCACAGAATTAAGACTTTAATATGGATTTCAAAGAACCTGGGTCTTCATTTAATCAGAAAAAGATTAGTGAAATTAAATAATAAAGTTGTAGCTTTATTTAATATTATCATTTGCTTATAAACAATAAATAAGAAGCCCACTGCAAGTCAGTGACATTGAAGGAGGTCTTCATTTGGGAACCAGTCTGCAGATCAGATGGAGAGAGGGTCCTCTGTTGTTTTAGAAAGGTTGACTCTGATTAGGGTTAAAGAGAGAAAGAGGTGGGTATCTGGGAAACAATAAGAGAATGGATGTAAACAGCTCATAAATCTTACTTTAGAAAATATATGAACCTAGAAAAGGTGGTGAATATAAATGACTGCTGTGTAGCCTCTGGATCTGGAAGAATGGAAGATAGAGCAACCCAGGGCATTGCAGTCTAAGCATTAAGAAGGTGTGCCACCCCATCAAGGACACCTACCTTTCCCCAGCTCAAGTTACCCCCAGAAAACTGTCGATGGATCCTCACAGAAATTTCATACCATGAATAAATGGGTGTTACCAATTTTATATATAAAGTATTCAAGTAGTGCTTTAATGTAATTCTAGGTTAGAGTATTTCTGATATTGTTAGGAGCTGAATGAGGCACAGGAAGTGACATATCAATTCTACAAAGGTCATTACCTAGGGAAATTTGTGGAATCAGGAGAGTTTCATTATCTTAAGTTTCTCTTCTAGATCTGGATCCCGAATTTATGTTTTCCCATGATAACAGAGAGAAACCTTACTTTCCCACTAAATCTGTTAAGATTATATATAACAAGTTTTTGAAGAAACTGTCTAGCATAATACTGATTTTATAACTCGAGTAAAATAAAACTGAGTCACATATAATTTAATTACCAACATAATAAGGAAAAAAATCATACTTTAGAATATAGCATGCTTTAGCATGCTGACTCTAAACTTGTGTCAGTTATTGTTATATGATTAATATAAGAGCAAATTTTGTTTCTTTATTGCCTGTAATTTAATGGTAGGCTGCTAATAGAAAAAAATGCTGTTCTTGAACCCAGAAAACTAAAATTGGAGTCTATTTTTCCCATTAGTTAGTGTGAGACTTTGGGCTATTTGAGAAAACCTCTCTGAGTTTCTCTAAAGGCAAAACAAAAAGCAGGTAGAAAATAACATAAAACCTGTTTTTTTCTAGGATGGTTGTGTGTTCTAAAAGTGGCATGAGTAAAAAGACACATAATAAACTGTGAAATGCCATAGAAATGTAATAAGGGATGCGATATAATAGAGTTAAGAGATCTGGCTTTCAAAAACAAGTTTATGAACTTAGTAAATAATGTGACCTTGAATAGTTATTGACCTCTCTAAGTCATTCATAAAGTTTTAAAAATTACCTACTTTATGTGTTTACTGGGAGTGTTATGAGAAAATGCACGTAAAGTTTTGTTTTCATGGAACTAGGTATAGAGTGAGTGTTAAATGGATACATCTATTATTGTTGTTGTTATTATTATTATTATATTGATAGAGAGAAAACAGTGTCCTTCCAAAAAATTGAAAAGGGGGAACACTTCCTAACTCATTCTATGAAGCCAGCATTAACCTGATACCAAAGTCAACAGTACTATAAGAAACAAAAAAAATCCTTTCATGAATATTGATGTAAAAATCCTCAACAAAATACTAGCAAATCAAATTCAGCAGCACATTAAGAATATTTCTCTATGACCAGTGGGATTTATTCCTGGAATGCAAGTATAATATAAGATGTTAAATAGCTTGATCTAATGGATATATCAGTAACCTGAATATCCCAAACAGCTACAGGATATGTTTTCTTTCCAAGCATACCATAACATTTACCAAAAAAATGGTCATACCATTTTCTACTCTGTCTCCTGTGGAGGTATATATGGTATGGACACATATTACTCAAAGACATATTCTGAAAGTTTCTGCTTTGGTAAATTTCTTCATACATGTTAAGTGTAGATTGTGTATTTGAAACATGATAACTTTTTTGACTAATTACATATATATGTATACATATACACACACATATATATATGTGATCAAGAACTGCTATTAACATTATCATTATTATTTTTGCTATAATCTCCTTCCATAAATTTATTACACAAGTATGAGAGCTGTATTGGGAGTTAGGAGACCTAGATTCTAGTCTGGCTCTCAGTTACTTAACTGTATAACCTTAAATAATTCTCTTAACCTTTCTGAGTACCAGTGCAATAACTAAAATAGAAGAACTTAATGTAGGTGATATGCAACTTCCATTTTAGGTCTAAGATCCTGTACATTTGTAACTCCCAGCTCATATGGCTTGCTAATTTCATAAAAGACTACCACTAACATTGAAAATTTTTGGTATTTATTACCATAATGTATTAATGCCAGGGTGCTTCTACAATTGACATCATAAATTAATTTGGACCCTTTAATTCATCTTTATTGCTTAATTGATAGATTTGGACTCTAATTCATCTCTTCATTCTTAATAAAGCAAGAATCCAGAGTGCTACATTAGGACTTTAGTATAATATTGCCATTATTATCTATATATTTCTTCCTTCTTGCAACATCCTTATTTTGTTTTTAGTTTAGCTCTCATGTCACAATTTTACTAGTTCTAGTTATGACTGTTTCATCCCAATAATTGCTTTACTTTCATGCTGAGTTACTGATAATGAAAGAATTGGAATGGTTATAGAACAATAGTAGGTAGCTAAGTCATTGGTTGCGTTCTACATGCCAACTACTATAAGAACCTTCATTAATTCATCAAGCATTTTTGTGTTTTCTATGTGCCTGGCACTGTGCTTGAAATACATCATATAAAACATGATCCTGTGCTTACTTAATTTTAAGATATTACTTTAAGATATGTATATATTATCAACATTTGGCAGATGAGGAAACTAGGACTTAATTAACTTGCCCAGGGTAATGCAGCTAATGAAATAACAGCCAGGATTCAAATTCAGGTCTGCATGATGCCAAAACCCATGTTTATTCCACTGCAGCAACTGATCTGCTCTTTAAGAATAGATAAAATTACTGACATTAGGCAAACAAATTCTAGTTTTAAATTGTAATATTAATGATTTTAATTCCATACATCTTTTGTTTTTTAAGCCTGACAAAGAAAATCAAGATTTCTTGTTTGATAGGATTTCAGAAAGTTACGTGACACTTTTCATAAGCATACCTCTAAGTAAAAAGGATGCATTCTTTCAGGTAAAACACAGAAATTAACTGGTTATGCTAATTATTTTTGGAGCTAATTAAGTAGAAAAATAGTTATTTTACTTAAACACATATGAGAACATATTTTGTTACTTTGAAAGCAAAATTTCCTGAAATAAAGTAAGTTATGATACTGTTTTAATCCTTACCTGAGGACATGATTTTATTATTATTATTATTATTATTGATTTGAGAGAAAGGGAGGGAGAGAGAAAGAGAAAGAGAGAAACATAGATCGATTGTCTCTCATACTACAATTTGGTTATGTGCCCTGCTATGTCCCTCACTCCAGAATATTGTATTCCCTTGACTAAAGTTCTTACAGAATCTCCTTAGTGTGATATAGGTCTTTTGTTTGCAGATTAATAATTTGAAAACTATTGACTTATTCAATGTATATTCTTGGTTTTTATATTTATCTAAAAATTGCTTATCAATTTTGTTTTTCTTTACAATATATGTTTTGATCTAAGAGGACTTGAAAAGTTTATGTTATGCCTAAGGACTAAGTCCCTGTTAAGTAAAGAACATGGACAAATTTATGAATCAAATGCTTGTTTTACTTTGCTCTAATATTAATTAATGAGTAGGGTTGATTAAAATAACTTATATTCTTGAGTAATGTTAAATGAAGATGGTAGGAATTTCATTGGGTATTTTTACATTTAAACATCTAGTGTTTCAAAGCAGAAGCCACATTTAAATACTTTATTGTGTTGACATCTGTAAATCAGGAATACATAGGTATTTTGGAGTCAGTAAATGTTTCTTTTCCATGGGTAAAACAAGCCTAAAATAAAAATAGTTAAATGTCCTTCATAAACAAACCTAATTTGTGAAATATTTATATTCGATCTTTACTTATCTTATAAACATACTAGAGGCCCGTTGCAGGAAGATTCCTGCAAGAATAGGGCTTACTGTGGCTGGAGGAAAGCAGAGAAGGGAGCAAAACCCGCTGAGGCGGGCTTCGC